TCTCTCTCTCTCTCTCTCTCTCTCTCTCTCTCTCTCTCTCTCTCTCTCTCTCTCTCTCTCTTTTCCCACCCCAAGTAGCAGATGAGATTTCACCCAAAAGACCTTTCTCTCTCCTCTATTTGTACCCTCGCTCGCCACCCGCGCCCCCTTCCTGAAAATAAGCGACTCACCTTGCAAAACCCAGATCAGAGCTGGTCCAAGAGACGACAAAAAAAAAAACAAAAAAAAAAACAAAGCAAAGAGACAAGATCGGAGCTGGCCCACGACAAACAGATGCTCATTCGTGCCTGAGAAAATGTCACTGTCCCGCTCCAACACAGTGAGCCTAGCTAATTTGTTGTCATCAATCTCACGTGGCGTCATCATCACAGCAAACCACGTCGTACCCATCAGTCCACATCATTAGCAGCAGCTGACGTGTCAATAAAAGGACCAGCCACTGTACAGAAAATCACCAATCATCATCATCATAATAATAATCATCATCCTCCTCCTCATCATCATCCTCATCGTCCGAGTCGCCACTGAATCACACCGCGTAGCCGGGGCCTTGTTGCCACGTGGCATGCCCAACTGCCATGTAATCGTGCTAGCCAAGTATTCTTATATTTGAAATGATCCTATCAACCATCGCCATCAACATCGATCATCATCATCATCATTATCACATGCTATAATTTTGACTGCCGCCCACATCAACACATAAGAATCGCCACTCCTAACATCGTCGTCAGCTTTCATTGTTTCATGCCTCTCTCTCTGTCTCTCTCTCTCTCTCTCTCTCTCTCTCTCTCTCTCTCTCTCTCTCTCTCTCTCTCTCTCTCTCTCTCTCTCTTCAGCGTGCGTCTGAAATCCATCTGCCTAAAGAATTTCCAGACGACAACACGATGACCAGAGAGGAAATAGGGGAACCGAGCGACGATGCCATAGGGGTAAAAAAGGGAAGAAGGGAAGAAATGACAAACTACCGTCTTCACCCGAATAGAACGCCCGGTCATTATCGCTGCATCTGGACAGAAAATGGCCCCAAATACGGCTATAATGACCGGGCGTTATATTCGGGTAATGACAAACTAGTTAGTAAACGGACACACAAACGGCGACCGAGTCACATGCCCGCGTCAATTTCGTCGTTGAGAATGCACCTACCACGTCCTTCCGTACAGGTACGCTACGCTGACACACATCGACCTCCTCACAATTTTCTCCGATTTCCTGTGATCGCTCATACCAATTTCATCTCACACAAACAAAAAAAATATTCGTTTTTATCATCCATGAGATTCTTTCGCATTAAAAAAAGAAAAAAAAGAAAAAAAGAGATTCTTTCGCATTTTGATCACGAAAAAAGGCAAACGAAATCGCTCAGTTTGATTAACGAAAATACCTTTTCCTTAACACCGACGATGCGATTGAAGATGATCGCCCTATGACCTCCTTCCACATTGTACAGACTGTTCATAGCTCCATACAAGCTCAGCCCTCCGAGCACGGCCACTTTCAAAAGCGCATTCGCTGGCCCTCCAGCTGGCAACTTCACATTCCGCAAGGAATTCAAATTGTTCATCCTCGCTTTGCTCCTTCGCCGCCACGTGTAATAGTCACAGATGAACCACACCTCCCTTCGATCACTTTCTCCTTCCTCTCCCCCTTTACTACACACAAATCCCTCCCCTCTCCTTTCACCTCCCCTTCACTTGCTCCTTCACCTCTCTCTCTCACACACACACACACACACACACACACACACACTCTCTGCGTGTTTGTGAAGTTCTGAATCAATGAACAGCCGCCGCCACCCCTCTACCCAGCTCTCTCTCTCTCTCTCAACAGCCGCCGCCACCACTCTACCCAGCTCTCTCTCTCTCTCTCTCTCTCTCTCTCTCTCTCTCTCTCTCTCTCTCTCTCTCTCTCTCTCCGCCACCACTCTAGCCAGCTCTCTCTCTCTCTCTCTCTCTCTCTCTCTCTCTCTCTCTCTCTCTGTGTACCCTGTATGTGTGTGTGTGTGTGTGTGCGTGTTTGTGTAGTTCTGAACCAATGAACATTCCCTTCACCACCACCGCATTCCCCCACCTTGGCTCCCTGTCTGCCTATACCCCGTCCCTTGGGAGGTTCGGTCCACGAGACGGGGGGGATTCGGTCCACGAGAAAATGGCGATGGGTGGAGTTGTCCGACCTCGCCGCGCCCACTGCAGCCGTCCTGCAGCCTTCGTCCGGTGGGTGGAGTGGTCCGACAGATGGCATACAACCACGTCAAGAGCGAATCCCATCCTGGGGCAATGTCCCACTTGCACGGATTAAGAGATTGTCTGGCCGTTGATCTTTGCTATCTACGGTCGATATATCGATGAATTCGTCTAAGTGGGACCTAGCCCCCGGCAGAAGGACAAGGCGACCCAAGCCCCCCCGCGAACGACCGCGTAACGTAGTACGATTCGCCAAGGCGATCAATTAGGGCCTCAGAGTACTACACAACATTCTAGATGTAGCTGGATGTCGTCGAGGTCCCGATACATTCAAAATGTTGGACTTCTCTGAATGCACTAGGTTCACAAAGGAGTCCAAATGCATGTAGAATGTTGAGTGGTGGAGCGACGCCCTTACTCCGGACCTGATTCCAACCCGCCATCCGCACCGGCATAGCGATAGCGAACCGAGGAATGCGGAAGGCGGCAGGCGGCGAAAACCTCCCACCGACGGCCCCACCAAGCGTCCGATTATGTGAATAGCTCGGCAGTGATGGTCGGCTATTCCGAAGGTGGTATGGCTATAGGCCAGGCCGCACTGGTGCTATCTTCATTGACATAGCCCTATGAAGACATGCTTCCCAAGCATGAACATAGCAATGTCGGTGTTCCCCGAACACAACACGCCCTCAACTTTTTAGTTTGATATTTTTTTATTTTTTTCTTGGATAAATTTTCGAAATGCCCCCGAAGTTTTCGTTTATTTGCGGCGTGCCCCTGTGAAGGCCGACTTACCCTGTGGTGCCCCTCGGGGCTCTGAAATTTTCCGCAGGCCCCTGTCAGCATGGGGCGTAATTCCCATATGCCCTTACTGGACCGCTGGTGGCGTTTCGTCGGCCCGTCCTTGAAATGCCCTCACGAGGGGCACACATCTTTCTGTGCTGCCCTTGCAGCAGTGGCGGCAGGAATTCAAATTCAAAGTGGTAGGCATTCCACGTGCCGCCACCGCCACGAAAAGATGCAGCAGTGAGTCTTCGAGTCCGCCGCATCGGTGATCTATGTGTTGGAGTGCATACAGCTACCGTGAGAAGGGGAGTGTGCACGCGCGTGTGTGTGTCCATGCTCATTGCCCTCCTCCCTCCTCCTCCTTCTCCGTCCTCGTCGCTCTCCTCTCTTCTCGTCCAGCCTCCATCCTCTATCCTCGTCCGAGTCCTTGTTCTCCCTACTCCTCTTCCCCTCCTCTTCCGTCGTTCCTCCCTCCTCCAACTTTCTCCTCGTCACCCCTCCCTCTCCACCTCCTCGATTATCGACCTCCTATTCATCACCATGGCCGTCTTCTTGGCGTCATCGCCCATGCACGTGTGCGCGTCTACATATGTGTGTGTGTGTGTGTGTGTGTGTGTGTGTGTGTGTGTGTGTGTGTATGTGTGTCCATGCTCCTCCTCCCTTCTCCTCCATACATGCTTATCGCCCTCCTCCCTCCTCCGTCCATGCTTATCGCCCTCCTCCCTCCTCCTCCATCCATGCTCGTCGCTCTCCTCTTTTCTCCTCCAGCCTCCATCCTCTATCCTCGCCGACTCCGTATCGTCATAGTCTTTGTCCTCCCTACTCCTTTCCATCCTCTTCCCTCGTTCCTGCTCTTCCCTCCTCTTTCCTCGTTCCTCCTCTTCCCTCCTCTTCCCTCGTTCCTCCCTCCTCCAACTTTTTCCTCGTCATCCCTCCCTCTCCTCCTAGTCGATTGTCAACCTCCTAACCATCACCATGGCTGTTTTCTTGGTGTCATCGCCCATGCACACGCGAGCATCTGTATGTGTGTGTGTGTGTTGTGTGTGTGTGTGTGTGTGTGTGTGTGTGTGCGCGCGTGTGTGTGTATATGTGTGTTGTGTGTGCGTTTGTGTGTGTGTGTGTGTGT